ACTCTCACCGTTATCTATCACTGGCTTGACGTACTTCCTACCATTCATCGCCTAGCTTACCGCTCCCGAATTAGCGTCCTTTTTTGCTTATCTCTCGGAATCCCTGCTTAAATCACGCCAGAGGGAAATTTAAGCCAGAGCAACAGGAAGAAGCAATCATCCTTCTGGACACCATGGCTTCTCCTGCACCCGCAACGGCTCCCGTGGGCCCCAGTTCTCTCATCACCGTCAAAGTGCTCTACAATGAAAATACTCGACGCTTCAAGCTTCCTCTGCGAGAGCTCGGAGCTCGCACGCTTCCCCAGAATGTATGTTCGTCCCCACTCAAGCTCCGATCGGAGCTACGGGTCCTTTGGGCCCCCCATCAAAAATCATAGCCACCCCCCATCATTTATTTCCTCAATGCAACTGAGTGTGCTCACGTGTTCACCTCCTTGCTCCATATGTGTGATAGAATATTTCTTTTCTTTTTATTCAGCGTCATCTGCGAATCATTTCTGTGCAAGGGGATAAAAATAATACGGAATGGCAATATCGCAACGATTTCGCAATTCATGCTGACGTCTCTTATCTGTAACAGCTCCGCCAGCTCCTTGGCGTTCCCGAAGATGTTAACGTCATCTTTGAACGTTATTCCGACAGCGCCGGCTGCTATATTCAGCTTGGTAGCGAGAACCCTGCTGTCTACAAGCAGCTCTATCGCGCTGCCAAGGCTAAACTGAAGCTGCGGATCAAGGCCACAACGGTTGAGGAGCCCGGCTCCCAGCCACAGCTGGCTGCAGACCTCCCCGAACAACAGAATGCGTCAAGGTACAGTTACCTCGAGACTGTCTTGGGTGCTCCTCTCCCTGAGTCTCAAGTTGAAAGTGTTCCTGCTAGTGCGTCCCTATCTGCCTCGGCTTTGCCCGAGGTCGCCAACGGCACCGTCCCTGCTGAGTCTCGGTCCGCCCAGTGGTCGGCCCCTGAGACGACTGAGCCTCAGTTCCGTGACTTCGTCTTGGGTCAGGACAGCTTGGATATGCCAGTGGTGTCGCACGCATCGCCCAATGGAGTCTTCTGCATTGACTGCAACCACTGCGGCCGCTCCATCCCGAACGAGCACTATCATTGCAGCATCTGTGACGACGGCGACTACGACTTGTGTCTCCAGTGTGTCGAGGCCGGTGTGGCCTGTCTCGATGATGAACACTGGCTGATTAAACGTCTTGTCAAGGACGGCCAGGTCACCAACAGCACCACGGAGACGGTTCAGCCCCGCAAGGCTCGTGAGGAGCCTGAACCAGAAGAGGAAGAAGAAGAGACCTTCGAGGAATCCGTGCCAGAGCTGGTGTCTGAGACTACCCCAGTCCCTGCTGTTGCTGCTCCCGAACTTCCTGAAAGCACTCAGGAACGCATCTGCAATGATTGCCTGAAGGGTATGTCCTTTCCCTCTACAGGAGGTTGTCACTATTTACTAACTCCAACAGAACTCGATGAGACCAAGATGGTTTCCTGCGCTGACTGCGATGACTATGACATTTGCATCACTTGTCTCCTCAGAGACACTCACGGCCATCACCCCGCCCACACCTTCAAGCTGCTTCATGATCGTCAGTTCTGCCTGAAGAGTCTGGTGCAATCTCGCTGCAAACCTGGACGTCACCACCACCACGCAGCTATCTGCGACGGGTGTGAAAAGGTTGGTTGTGAACTACTCTATTTGACTGCCTCAATGCTAACCGTTACCTTAGCGTATTATTGGCGTCCGGCACAAGTGCCTGACCTGCCCAGATTGGGACTACTGCTCGGAGTGTCACCAGGAGGCAGCCCAAAACCACCCGGGTCATCGGTTTGCGCCAATTTATGACGCAATCGCCGAGCCCCTGCAAAGCTATGAGGTGCATTACGGCATCTACTGCGACGGCCCTCTGTGCAGGAACAGGCCATGCCCTAGCTTCATCACAGGCACTCGCTACAAGTGCTCTGTGTGTCACGACACGGACTTCTGCGCCAAGTGTGAGGTGCACCCGACCAACACTCACAACCGCACTCACCCCATGGTCATGCTGAAGACACCTGTGCACAACGTCTCTGTTAGCACTGTCCACGAAGACCGTGGAGCCACTTGCGCCCTGGGCGACCGTGCCCAGAAATCCACTTCCACCCAAGCCAGCGTCCCGGTCGAGCCGGTTCAGGAGACACCCAAGCCGGAAGCAGAGCCTATCCAAGAGCCTGCCCCGGTGGAACAGCCGACTCCCGTTGCACAGCAGCCGGCTCAGGTCGAACAGCCGACATCAGCTGACCCGGCCTCGGGCTATCAAGCCTTCTTCATCCGGGACACTGTGCCGGATGACACCACGCTGCCGCCCAACACCGCCTTTGAGCAGACCTGGACCCTCTTCAACCCCGGCCCATTGAGCTGGCCTGCCGGCACGGATGTGCGGTTCGTCGGAGGCGATTCGATGTTCAACGTAAATACCAGCCACCCATTGAGCATGGATGCCATCTCGGCTGCCATGGAGAGCAACAAGCTCTCGGAGCCGCTTGAGCCAGGTCACAGTGCGGACTTTACCGTGACACTCAGGACCCCGAGCCGCCAGGGCAGCGCCATCTCGTACTGGCGGCTGAAGCTGCCCAGCGGCATGCCTTTTGGTCACCGGCTGTGGTGTGACGTGCGCGTGCGTGATGACGTTCCGCCGCCCGCTGTGAGTGCACCGGAACCGGAGATGGAGAAGACCGTCGAGCCTCAGCCGGAGGCCGAGTCGGAGCCTGCAGGAAGCCAGATGATCTTCCCCAAGCTGGCCAAGGAGTCTCCGGAAACCAGCACACACGAGGCGGCCACCACGGCCCCCAGCGCCCCGTCGGTGACGAATGCTTCGGAGCAGGATGTGTTTGATGACATGGAGAGTCTGACACTGGGCGAGGACGAGACAGATGCGGGTATGCTGACGGACGAGGAGTACGACATCTTGGACGCCAGTGACCAGGAATATCTGGAGGCCAAGTCTCAGCGCTAAGCGAAGACGGCGGCCATGAGTTACGGATTTCTTGGACGGGGAAACAAAGGAGTTCTTTTTCAATCGGACAGGATGAAATAATCTGCGTGTGATTTTTTAATACTTGCTAACTTAGCTTGATTTGCGTGTGGGCGAAGGAAAACCCTGGGAAGGATGAATTGGCTGTAAGCTCGGCATTAGGCTTGAATGTATGCACTTCATTTCTCTACTTCACTTCACTCACTTCCTTCCACCTCCTACTAGGAGCTTGGACCGTAACTCCGACCCCGACCCATGGATGATTACCGCGACGATCTTCAGTGGCGTCTCTGCTGGACTGGCTGGTCGGTCCACAGTGGAGGATGGCCAGCTGCTGGTTCGCCAATGACAGGTTCGGTTAAAGTCAATCCCCGCATTTTCCAGTATGTGGTGGTGAGGATGATGCTACAGAGGAGTATCTACTTGGTCGGTTCATCCAACCTCGGCCCCCCGCTTTATTTTTTTTCGATTCTCCTCTCTAGTACTTCCCCCCCCTCCCTTGTTTGCTTTTTCTTCGTCCTTTTTGCTTTTTCTCCCCCATTACATGTCGACTCATCAACAGGCTGATCACGATGAAAAACTACATCAACCTGGCGATTATCGCCGTCCTGTTCGCCTCGCTGTATGGACCAGTGACCCGCCAGCTTAAAGTGCTGGGGGCATTCCGCTCAGCCAGCGAGACAAGCAGCTCCCAGAGTAACCCTGTCCACTCAATTGCTGATACCATCCAATGCGAGGACCTGCATTATCACCATCCGTCTGGTCAGCTCTTTGCGGCCTGCGAGGACTCGATTGTGCCCCGGTTCCGCTGGTTTCCACCCTTGGTCAACTTTGAAGGCCCTGCAGACACGACGGGGTCTATTCATGTGATTGACCCCCAGGTAGGTGTCCCTGTGCAACTCCTATTTAGCTACCAGAATCTAATCCAGCTTGACAGACACTGAAATCGACCCGTCTCACATTCGAGAACTTTTCCGGCCCCTTCATCACCCACGGCATCGACGTTACTGAGGATCCGGAGCGCGCAGACGCCGTCTACATCTTCGCCGTGAACCACCTAGCCAACCCGGACTATCACCCCGGCCTCAAGGACATGCCCAAGGCCCGCTCGCAGGTCGAGCTCTTCCACCATGTCCTGCACTCCGGCACCGTCCGGCATGTCCGTTCAATCCGTCATCCGCTCGTAGCCACCCCCAACGACATCTACGCCGAAAGTCCTTATTCATTTTACGTCACTAACGACCACCGCTACCGCGACGGGGCTCTTCGCGCGGTCGAGAACATACTCCCCGCCGCCAAATGGTCCACCGTGATCCACGTTCAGCTCGACAGTCTCGCTGCGGTCCCAGCTGACACGGAGCGCAAGGCAACTGTGGCCTTCGAGCACATCTGGAACGCCAACGGTCTCGGACATGGCTCGTCGCGCGAGGAAGTGCTTCTCACCAGCGCCGTGGGCGGCTACATGTGGCGTATGCGGCCGCAGGATGACCACACGCTGTCGGTTGTGGATGAGTTCGCCTTTGACAGCACAATTGACAATCCCACTTACTACCGGGACCCGTACGCAACGGCCACAGACGATGCCAGCGGATATGTCCAGGCTGGACTACTTCGCGGCGTGGACCTGGACAAGACGCGCGCTGATCCTCAAGGCAAGGATGGCGCGATGGTGTGGTACACGCGGCGCAAGGCTGGTACTACGCCCGCGGAGTGGGAGACCCGGCTGCTTTTTGAGGACGATGGATCACGCATCCGGAGTGCCAGCGCGGCAGTGCTGGTTCCGTTGCCAGAGCAGCAGCAGAAGAAGGCGAGATTGTTCGTGACGGGATTCGTTTCAGAGGGTATGATTGCGGTGGATGTGACCCTGTAATGTAGCTGTCAATTAATCAGTGACTTATGATATAATCATAACCTACATCCACACCATCATCATACTCTACACCCTCTATACATATATATAAATTCCACATCCTCTACATATAAGATCTAGTTCGAAGCAGAATACTCCTCCAACGCTCTCACCACCTCCCCCACCCCTCTCACCTCCGCAAACTCCCCATCCAAACTCGCCACCGACACCTGATGCACCGTCTCGGCATCCCATCCCCCCTTGGCAAATGTAGCAGTGGCATCACTAACAAGAATAATCCGACCTTTATCCACCTCGTCATCTTGCTTCCCTAACACCTCATTCCCTTCCACATTCTTAATGGTCTTCCTTCTATCCACAACCCCCAAATTCGCCGCCATCCGCACCGTCGTCGACACACAATGATCCGTCGTCAACCCAGCCACAATCAACTGCCGTATCCCCTTCTCGCGGAGATATTCTTCCAGTTCGGTGCCAATGAATGAGGAATTGACATGTTTCCAGATCTGTTTCTCGGTGGGAAGTGGGTTGCAGATTGGGAGGGGGTCGATGCCTTGCTCTCCTGTGGGAGTGGTGTAGGTTGGGTGTAGGGGGGAGGTGGGCGTTGTGGAGGAGTGGAAGATGTGGATTATTTCGTGGTGATGATGTTGTTGTTGAAATGATGGAGATGGGGATGTGGTGAGGGTGTTGCGGATGGTGGTGAGGAGGGATTGGATGTTGGCTTCGTAGTTGGGGTTGGAGCGGGATGGACCCCAGTGGGTTGGGTGGGTGAAGCCATTTTGGTTGTCGATTAGGAGGAGGGCGGTGGGGTGGGTGAATGTTAGTTGGGACATTGTTGTTGTTGTGATTGATTAAGGAGTTGTGGTGGTGAAGATCGTGTGGGAGTAGTATGTTATTATATAGTAGTGATCTGGACTACTAATAGGGTACTAGGGAGTATTGCTAGTGAGGTGGTGAGTCATGGACTAGTAGTATTGTAATTGTCAACTGAACTGTGATCGTGAGTCACTATTTTGATTGTATATGTAGTATAGTATGAGGCTAGTTACATTCATACTACTACTAGATAACATGATAATATATAAGTTACATAATTGCTGGACTCCCAGTGTTGCTAGTGATCACTCTGAGAAGTCACTGTCCGGCATCGGACTTGACACAACATCTACTACTTACCAACAATGACAGTAGATACCACTCTGCCAACAATTGCATATACTATAGGAGATTTATCCATTCGGCTCGATTATATAGAACTAGCAAGATATACTAACATCGGTCCCCGCGGGGAGCCGAGGCAATTCCTTTCTGCCTGAGGCACTCACACCAATCTCCCCGGAATCTCGTCGGATCTTCATTTCATCTCCAATTCTTCCTCTTGACATCTGTCTCTTCAACCCTACACAGAATACCACACATCAATTGGACCATTCAATTTACAGCGCAATGCCACCCGCGCTGCACCCCCCACGGGCTCTCCTCAATTGCCCGCATCCCCAACTCACCACAACCATCGCATCTCGCCTCATCCACCATCCTCACAACTACACCCTCCTCTCAACACGCTCCTACGCCTCACACTCCAAATCCAACACCAACACCAAATCCCACACGCGCCCCTCCTCCGCCGCACAACCCACCACCACCCCAACCACACCATCAACATCAACCTCCACAACAATCCTCACCACCCTAAACCCACCCCCGAGCACCCGACCCGCCTCCCTCGCCCTCCCACCCACCCCCTCCCCAAACACTCCCCTCCCCCCATCCGACAAACTAAAACGCTACATAACAATCGGCCGCGCATACCTCACCTTCTACAAAACGGGTCTGAAAAACGTCTACCACAACTACCGCGCCGCGATCCCCCTCCGGCGGACCCTGAACCTCTCACCCTATATCCCGAGCTCTATCCCACCACCGTCAGCGTCATCATCTACAAAGGATGTATCAACTCCATTCTACAAGACCTTACAAACGAACGACCTCCACCGCTCACACTTCCAACTCCTCCGGCGCTCCGCGCACGACATCCGCCGCATGATCCCCTTCTCGCTCATCCTGATTATCTGCGGAGAACTCACGCCCCTGGCTGTGCTTGCGCTGGGGAATGCTATCACTCCCCTGACGTGTCGGATTCCGCGACAGCTGGAGAAAGAGAGGGAGAAGAGGGCGCGGGCGAAGCGGGAGGCGTTGGTTGTTGGGACGGGGTCGGTGACGCCGCCTGGGGTTGGGTCTGTGGAGGAGATGGGGGTGTTGAAGCGGATGGTGGATGGCAGTTGGATTGAGGGTGCGGGGGCTGGGGAGGTGATGCGGGCTTGTGCGGTGTTGGGGTTGGCGAGGTCGTATGAGAGACCGGGGTGGTTGGTCCGGGTGGTGTATCGGGGGAGGTTGAGACGGTATGCGGAGTATTTGGCGTGTGATGATGAGTTGATTCGGAGGGGTGGGGGCGTGGCTGGGATGGAGGCGGAGGAGGTGCGCATTGCGGTGGAGGAGAGGGGTGGTGTGGGGGTTGGTGTTGGGGGGGTGAGGGAGGGTTGGGAGGCTGAGAGGGAGGAGAGGAGGTGGTTGGAGAGGTGGATTGCTGGGAATTAGATGGATTGTTCTATAGGGAGGAGGGTTGATGTAATTCGCCTTGTCTCTCCTCTGTATACTACTCACTGCTATGTGTATCATATGGATAGATGGGGTTGGTGGGATTGTGGATATATCTGCATGCATATATGTACATTAGTCAATCAAGACAGTATCGATCATTTTTGACTCGTCATCTTGCCACAGGGCTAACAGGGCTTGCCGGCATATCACCGATAAATCCCGATCAGTACTTACTGATATCCTAGATAGCATAGCATATAAAAGAGCTAATATACACTGTACAGGTCACCTCCGATCAAGTCCACAGAATTCTCCCCGACGCCATCCATCCATTCATCGTGACTCGTCACGCCATTCTCATTCCCCCCAAATCCAGCAAGTCCCACAAGGTATCATCGTATCATATATAGCGAAAATGCTCAACATACTCAAATCACATTCAAGTCAGACAGCCACACACTAAAACGTAGAAAGCCACCCAAGAGATAGAATAAAAAAAAGGGGTAATATAACATAGGAATCATCACGCCCGTTTCCCTCGGGCTGCTGTAGTCTGTCCCTGTGCAGCATTGCGGACCTGCTTTGCCCATCGTAAGCCACAACTGTTGCAGAGGTCGCGATTGCCGCTGGGTCCGCGTCGCCATTCTGGCGTGCTCTTCGTTCGACACATCGCGCAGCTCTTCTCCACTATGATTGTGCTTTGTTTGCGCTTGCGTTTCTTCCGTCGTGTGAGGAGTCGTTGCACCTCGTCCGATAATGTGCGGTTCTGCTTTTCCAGTTCTCGTAGCTCGAACTGCCAGCTGGATCCCCTGGTCGGTGCTAGCTCGGAGAAGAGGCTGCGCTCGCGTAGTGGGATCAATTCCTGATTACCGGAGGGTAACCGGCTGCTTGACCCTGTCTGTCCAGCAACGTCTCGCCCTGTGTCCGTGGCGCTGGAGCTTGTGTCGTCCGGGCTGCCGTTCGGCAGAGGCCTGTGGAAACGTAACTGAGCGACCAGGAAAGAAGGTCGCTCCCCTTCTTTGCTGTCTCCCGGTATTAACGTCGTCTGCACGGGCAGCATATGCCCCTTCTTGTGGCGGACCTTGTGGAGAAATGAGACCTGTTGTCCCGAACGAGCTGTGTCCAGCGCCTCCATGACCTGGGCCCGGGTATCTGCTCCCGTGAGATCTTGAATGCTCTTTCCAATGACATCGTCCGCCACACGACCTAGAACCGGCCTAGCTTTTGAAGAGATGAAAAGTACAATCCCAGACATCGAAAGCTTGGCCCAGATGTCATTCTCCGCCAACCCGCCCCGGCCAATTGTAGCAACCTGGTCAAGATTGTACACCGCACGCGCTCGCCCTCCGAGGACCATGAACTGTCGCCCCCGATCGGTAATATGCCATGACCCATGGCTCTCAAACCAGATATACCCGCTGTACTTCTTCCGGATGCGATACACCACGCTGACCGGCTCGGTGGTGATGCGCGCTCGTAGATCGCGAATGACCGAACCAATATCGCTGGGGTGGCACACTGCTGATAGGCCCTTTCCGACCAATTCCGCTGGCTCATACTCCAGCACCTTCCGGCACGAGGGTGACAGATAGAGAAACTCTCCCTCAAAGGATAGAACGTGGATGATGTCGTCCATGTTCTCCACCAGCACTCGGTCCAGGTAATGCCGGTACGACGGGCCGGTGTCGCGCAAGCTCTCCAACACCGTAGATACCTGATCAGGGGTAAAGAAAGTCGCTAGATCCGGATTGGAGCGGTAAACTTCAGGCGGGACCACATAGCTCGGTAACTGACTGCGCTGGTAGTTGATCATGTAGGTTCCATCTGCAAACAGTACGATTAGCTTAGCAGCGCCGAAACACGCATACAGAACATACTCGGATTCCGTCGCGTCACTGCATCGGGCGTCTCGACCAGATCCACCTGAAACCCAACGTAGAACCGATAGTCGCTGCCGCCCCATCGGATCGGAAGCATCGTGATTAGATTCACAAAGGGCTGGCCGCCCTTGCGGTAGTTGATGATGCTTGCCTGTATCTCCGTCCGCTCCTCTATCGTCGAGCGCAGGCGATAGGCCGTGTTCTCGTCGACGAACTTGCGCTGCATGCCCCGCTGGACGACCCCGTCCGGCCCTTGGAGGAACCGACAGTTCTGCCCGACAATCTCCTGGTTGGTGTAGCCTGTGAGCCGCTCGAATGCCTCCGAGACGTAGACGATTGGATGGTCCTCCAGCGTGATATCACAGAGGACAAATGCGCACGACAAGTCAACTGCCCCGATATTGATCTTAGGGTTCGGTCGGGACACCACTTGGGCCTAGTGGAGAGGTCAGTCACATGCATGTCTTCCAGACGCGAACGCTACTGCGGAAGCGGTCGACCAGATTCAACCTACCAAAACCCCCATGATATCGAAGCCACTTGACGAGTAGATACTAGCATATGGAGAGTCGCTTCCAGCTTCCACTTTGGCTTCGGGTGGAAAAGAGGCTTTATGGATGTGAAGACCCGCATCAGCTTTTCCGGTCAGGTTCGACTTGGATTGGAGGAGAACCCACCCTTCACTGGGGATGACCTCTTCGGCTGGATGAAGCGATGAGGAACGGCTGGATTGGCCGGTTGGGTATAGGACTGAAAGTCCGAGGGCTGACTTTGAGGTAGCGGTTGATGATCCTGGGACGGCCCTCTTGCGCGGGAGAAGTCCCCCGCTGATCCCCGGACCGGGCCTGCAGCCTGTGCCTGGGTGGTGACATCCTGAGTCGTCTGTTGATTCCAGTAGGTATTTGTCGCGGACTCCTGGATCTGAGCGACCGCGTACGCTGCGCCAGGATCCAGATGGACGGTCTGGGAAGGTAAGTGAGGATGCTGCTGCTGCTGCGGCGCTGAATGCTGCTCTAGACTGGGATCTAGCGGTCCAATGGAAGCGCCAAAGACGGCCGGATCGTAAGGAAAGGTAGTTCCTTGATCCAAGCTCATTGGCATGGTCTGCGCGGCGGCCGACAGGGGATGGTAGGGATGCATGGCGTGGGGAACATGCCCCGGGAAACTGGCCGTGTGGGAAGAAGCATGATGATGAGGATGAGGAACCGGAGATTGAAAGAAAGAGTTATCGGGATGCGATGCAAAAGTCGCGGGCAGGCCAGCAGCCAGCAGATCGGAGGGCTGGGCGGGATAGGCAAAGGAACCGGGAGGAAAATGGCCGGAAGTGGGATTGTAAGACATCAAAGAAGCCGGATGGGGGGCAGCATTGGAGTAAGAAGAGGATGCGGCGGGGCCCAGTTGGGGATCCGGTATGGAATAGTGTGCCTGATAGAAGGCATCGTCGAAGCCTTCCATGGCCCGCAACAAACAATCCTGGAACAGCTTCACGTCCGATCGAATCGAGAAGCGGCGAGAGACCAATGAGGAAGACGCATCGAGATGGGCTGCTGATGTGAAGCAAGTTAGGGAATAACAACTAAACCTTAGACAGTCACACAAACACCAGGGGGTGGGAGGAAGAGTAGTAAGTAGGTAGTTAGTTAGTTACTCCCAAACCCCCGAATCAGATTCTCCTCAGTTCCCTGCCTATCGGAACAGTAGGAAATAATAATAATAATTCAGGGAAAAAGCAGCGGAGATCGATGGAAGATAAAGTGGACAGACGTGGACAGAACTGAATGAATCCACGCTGAGATGGGGGAAAAAAAATAAAAAAGAGGGGAAGGAAAGTAATGAAGCGTGAGCAGCTGAAAAGAGACGGACGAAAGAGTGGAAACGACTAGCAATTCACTGGTCGCGCCGGGACTTAATTATCACCAAATCAATCAATAATATGGCGGTTCCCTCAATATATAAGGAAGTACTGCTTTTTCCTGTGTCCCAGAGGAATCGGAGAATTAATAGAGGAAAATGGAATAGTTAGAGATGGTGGTGGATGTCAGTTGCGAGACATGGGGGCATTCATTGTATTCGCCGCAGTGCAGCAGCAGTAGCAGCAGTAGTAGCAGTAAGTACTTGTTGGTTAGAGCAGGACTAAAGTACTAAAGTAGTACTACTATCCACACCAAGTGGAAAGGAAGAAAGAGAAGAAAGATGAACGATTGGATCGCAGGGGACAAACCAGCCGGGCGAGTGGCGGGGCGGGCCAATTGACCCCGGGAGGCCAGAAGATTCCGGGATGATGTGTCAAGCTGGTCGGTGTGATGGATCGAAAAGGATGTTAATTAAATGAGAGGAGAGGAAGGGAATTGATAAAAAAGAACAATGGAGGCATCAGATGGACCAGTCAGTCAGTCTTCGGGGGAGATTCTGGTGATGGAATTTTGTGCAAACAAGTATCTACGGAGTAGTGTAGAAAGTAATTGGGAATTGATATTTGTTTGTCAAAAGTTATAAATAAAGCATTTGATACTACTACTGCCTATTTAATTACTGATATACCCCCCATATTTATTTACTACTTAATATGTGTCTAGAACAGGTACCAGGTACCGCACGCTCCAGCCCGCGTCTGCAGCATGTTGGGGTACTGGTGACCCCCTTTCTTCATCATTTTCTCCATGGTACTGTCAAATCCACTTGAATGTTTTTTTGACATCAACGATGAATTCCCCCCGATCAATTATATTCTCCTGGTCCACAATAGATATTTATCTATCTACCCCTACTCTCCCTTATCAATCGATCATTTATCATCATCATCATCAACATCACCACCCAGTGATCGGCCATCCGCAATCACCGAAATGGACCCTCAAAGGGGCGGCGCTTCGCTCCGTCGGCGTCTGAGATTTGCCCACGTTGGGAATCCTTTCTCCCATTCTTCTCTTTCCCCCTTACTCCGAGTCAGTGCCTGAAAAACTCGAGTCGCAACTTCTGCCAGATAAACTTCGTCCACATTCTTATACCCTGTTCTTTCACTTTCATCCCCGAAACTACCTCGGTGTTTTGTCCGTTCGGCCAGGCCACACACCACACAGCTCGCCTCACACTGCCCCTGTAATGCCCCTCTCGGGTCCAGTTGCATCTCCATCTACTTGACGCGGACTCAAAAAAACACTCTTGCGAAGGGATACACTTAGACACCCACCTGTTGGTGGTAGGAGAATCGGGTTAGCCGACTAGCTTCAGGGTCAAAATTCGCTCGTTACACAACCATTGACCCTTGTCTCTCTCTCTGTTTGTTACTACTGGACCCGCCGTCGCGTGCGCATCCCCGACACCTATCTATCGACCCGCACTCCCTCACCATGGCCGACGCCACCGACAAGATCTCTATCACCATCTGCGGCGATGGTGGATGCGGTATGCTGTGCAACCCCATCTCTTGAACCCCCAATGGTTCTTTTCGTCATTCCGGCGCAGGGACTGCGGGGCTACAAGGGGGAAGAAAGAACCTTATCGCTGATGGCCGCTAGGAAAATCATCCATCACCTTGCGCCTGGTGCGGAGTCAGTGGATTCATGAGTAAGTCTTACAGATAGAATCCGATCATCAAACGTCGACGAGAAGCGTCCGTCATGCTAATCCAGAGCAACGGGATAGATACGACCCTACAATCGGTATACCCTCCTTGCTGGTCTTGCTCTGAGCTATATCGAGTTTCACAATTACTGACATCGGGCGATCTGGTTGAACCGTGCAGAGGATTCATATTCGGTTACGCGCGTGGTCGATGGCGTGCCATACTTCCTATCCATCACCGACACGGCCGGCCAGGAAGAGTATCGCGGCTTATGGGCGGCTTCCAACCTGAGATCCGACGCCTTTCTTCTGGTGTACGACATCACCAACAAATCGAGCTTAGGCGCTTTGGACTACTTCATGGACATGATTGAGATCGAAACCGAACAACGCCTTGAGGACAATGATCGGTTGCGCAAGGAGTTGGGGGCCAGTGCAGAGGGCCTCGATGTGGGCATGCCACCCCCGGTCAAGATCGTCGCAGGGAACAAGTGCGATCTCAAAGACAACAGAGTCATTAGTTCCCGGGATGGCCTGGAGTATGCCCGAAAACACGGTTGCGGTTTCATGGAGACCAGCGCCAGGGAGATGGTCAACATCGAGGAAACCTTTGCCCGTAAGCCTCTCACCACTATCGAGCCAGGTATATACGCTTGCCAGAAGCTGACACTCTCGCAGTCCTAGTCCGTCGGGTCGTCGAGGCCCGTCGACTACACTACCAGAAGGGTCCTCCGACCAGTCAAACCGCTCAAAGGGGCGAGCCTTCGACGGAAGCAAAAACCCCTGCTGACACGGTTGTTAGCAAGGAAGGCAAGGGAGAATCGCAGAAGCGCACACAGAAACGACAGAGTGGTCTTCGTGGGCTCTTTGGAGGTAAACGTGCACGTCAGGATCCAGGCGAGAAGGGCCATCTTCAACCAGAGGCATCAGGATCGGGGCAGAACAAGCCATCCAAGCCTGCAAAGGCAAGCATATGGAAGCGCATGAGTTGCTGTTAGGCTGCAGGTCTGCCTATTGCGGTCGTACATCCTTCTTTGTATTAACATTTCAACATTATACCCCCTTTTGTATACTACTTATTCAGCTGACTTCAATCTCGACCGTTAACCTGTTGATGCATCCACGAATGCCAAGTTCCATCCACTACTTCTTTGACGTGTAGTTTGCATAGACGGATAGATCGGCATGTTTCGAGAAAATACAAGACTGCTAGAAGAATCCGGTGGCTGTCACGGGAGCAGAGCATGGGTTAATTAACAATGAGGTCACCGGCGAGCTTGCTCATCCGGTGCAGGACACTAACCTGCAATCCGGCCGACTAGGGACAGACAATGCATCGCTATATCTTATCAGCAACCTCTCACGGCACACATGGTCTCCCTGCCGCATCCCGACGGAAGTGGAAAACCGAGTGCACCCATGTCAGCAGCGGTAAGTAGTGGTGGTGGGGTCAAGATTGGTAGAGCACTGCGGGATGACGCTATCATGGTTAGCGGGCTTGACACTATCGCATGGTCTAGACCCGAGAGAGTAGCATGTCTCAGCGATCTGTAATCGATTTCCAATGTTTGGCTATGGGCAGCTTATTCTGCAATCGTCGAACCCCTGAAAGCAAGAACCAGCCTCGATCGTGCTTCAGGTGCAAGGTTCAATCCCGAGTAGTATAGCCGCTTCGGGAATTAAGCGACACTCGGCATTTTCGATGGGGCACCTATTGGTACATTGTAGAAAACGGGCATGGATCAACATGGAAAAGGATAGTCCAGCGGTCATTGATCGCAGGATCAGAAACCTTATCTGCCACTCTATAGCACCCGAGGCAGTGGTGCAAGTATGAAGTCAATCCCGGAGCTGAGCCAGTGGTAAGTGCCGGTCAAACCAGCTCCAGCCAGACACGGGCACCGTACTCCAGCAACGCTAACTGGCTTCGAGAGCAGTAGCCTGTTAGGATTAATTAAATCATTTCCTGTTGTCACAACAGGCTAAGCTGGAGGGGAATGACAGGGGCATAATCGAATCAGACCTGCGACCGTGCAAGTGGCATGGTCCATCGGAGGGATGATCAACGTCATTGACTGTCATGTGCGGATAGCTCCAACGGCACCTCGTGGTGGAGAGGAGCTGCTGCTGCTGCTGCTGCTGCTTCAAGGCAGGAAAGTAAAATTGGAAGAACAATGATTGACCGGGCTATTGAATCATCCCAAACTAAAGCTGATCACGAACAACAATCGGAACCGACGATTGGATCAACGCGGGATTCGGCCTTCCCTGCTCCATCCACCTGGCGGCAGACTGTGTGGCAAAGAAGGATTGGTATCAATCCGGTCTGCCGTTAAGCTTTCGAAGGAGAGCGCCAATCGCCAAGACTGGTGATCAACAGGTCTTGTACGACTATGGAGGGAACTAGGAGAATAGCAGCGATCGAGGATATCGGACGGGGAAAGGAATCCGTGTTTGATCGCCGAATCGGGGTTTTGACGATGCACTTTGAATGGAGTCAAAGGGGGGAAGAGAGAATTGAGATGGGTTTATTGACCCTGTCAGTGTCAGGTAATGTTCACAGTAGACAGTCATTATGGAGCCACCACCCGATGGTCCATACACCTTACATACCGCTCCAGAACAGTGGATTCATGGTTTCGAAAGCTACCCGTTCGGCATGAGTTTGCCGAGTTGGGTCAGCTTCGAAAAAAAAAAATAATAATATTTGGTTATGGAAATATACTCAAGGTGGATATTCTTGTGCCGTAATGCCGGGCTATGCAGACTTGGGCTGTCATTCCCTCAAGCTGGTTTGCATCAAATCGCAGAATTACCGCAATTCTGAACTAAAGCTATGGATGTACCTGAACATCGGAAAAGTTACAGCTTGCTTCAAGTGAGTCTCACACATCACACACGCCGGCGCAGGTAAAACCACCTCGGCCGCGACGTAACTATAGCTACCTTCATTTAGTCTCTACTATCTAAGTTCTCCCTCGTGATTAATTGTCCACGTATTCCCACCTCCTCTTTTACTTCCTCCAAAGATCTTTTCCACACCCTAGGTAGACTATAGTAGTCCAAAAGTAGGGCCTCACTAGCCAAGGCAGACACCTACGGTACATGAAGGGAAACCCCCGTAGAGTGTAGACATGGGAGGTACCTGTCCAGAGTCCCGATCGGATATACGGCCTGAGGTGGGCCATTGAGGTTTTTGAATCGTTTTGGGGGCCCCTCCCAACATGAGGGAAATAAAAAGGAAATAGATCTCAATGAGGAAATTTCCCCAAAGCACGCAAAAGCAGAAAAAGGAAGTTGGCACCTCCGAGGTCCGAGTCAAGCAGTCTCCGATGCCGATTCAGGCAATCAGCACGTCCGTCTGGGCTGGTTACTTCCGTTATCCGTTCAACCTGTTCCTCCGTATCAGGTAAAATACCTTACATACAAACGGCCGCAGGGTTCATCCACGTATTGGTTATGACGTATGGTTACACAGTATGGAAAGCGCTACCTCAGTTCACTCAGAGGTACCAACTTATAATAGTATGGGCAAGGAATTGACACGCTGTGGCTGCAGAGGCAGGTGAAGCTTTGGAGCACCACGTTGGATCAAATCTCAAAATTCATATGTGCCTTGAATTTAACCCGGTTCATGTAGAAAGATTTTTCCGCTGTCTCCCCAAAGAAGTGGACAAGTGTGACGATAGCCAGGCAGCAAGCAAGCAGTTGGTTTAGTTCATGTAGTAGTACCAGGAAAAGTTATGAATGATACAGTGCAAGTTTGGAGGGAACGGTTAATACGAGGTCAATACCGTACAGAGAAAAAGGGCCCCACTGCATAAACCTCCAGACCTCTAGCGGCCGGCCAATGATCGGCCAGCGCCGCCAGACCCGATCCATTCTGGTTCCTTTGGACTGCGTCAATAATCCCAAGGGTAAGACGGCGACCATTCCTACGTGAAGGACCGCCAACCTTACTATTATTTTTAATCAAAAAATAAAAAAATGAAAAGGAAAAAAAAAGAAATCCATGGGGACTAGACTAATTCGAATAAATAATCATCCAGGCCCATCTGTAGTAGCAATTATTATTATTATCATCATCATCAATCATCATCACTCTGACTTTACGTCGTCCTCGTCTTACTCCTCCTCCCTTATATCTAGTTAAAAGAGCTTCGACCCTCCCGGTTTGGTCAAGCCTGGCCTCTTTTCCCTCCCAGATATACTTCCTCTTTACCACACCATCACTACTACTACACACCTTGCCTTTAGCCCAACCACCGGTGGATCGTTGTAACGCTATCCTGTCCTTGGAACCGTTCAACTTGATCATTAATCATTACATGCGGTTGTCTCGATCGAGCTCTCGCATTGGCTCGACCCTCTGAACCTTCTCTTGCTCATTACACCTTCTTTTACCTTTATCCATCCGGCCTCGTTATATCATCGACCAATCTTACGTATTGTCGATCACTGATCATTGCAACACCGCACCACAGAAAAAGGTATAGGCGAGGACAAGGCACAAGAAAAGCAATAAGAAAAAGAAAGGGAAACCAAAATTCGAAAGAACAGAGAAAAAGCAAACCCGACTAGTTACCCTACAAAACTAACCACCGCAACTGGAACTCGCGCTTTCGATACTCTTTTTGATTTTCACCTTTTTCTTGACTGGGGAGATACTCCTTTGATTTCTCTGGTCACATCTGCCTTTCAAAACCCGCAACCAAACCTCCCTCACCTTTATAAGTATATATATGCGCACAATGACGGCACGCCAATCATCACCTACATCCGACCACTCACATTCGGACGGTAATGTCCGAAAGAGGGTCTGTAAGGCATGCGATCGGTGTAGACTGAAGAAATCCAAGGTAAGCCAAGTCATGCTCAAGCATCAGCTTGTCCTGATGCACTGACCCGGTGCAGTGTGACGGATCCAACCCATGTGGTCGGTGCAGGACAGATAATGCCATCTGTGTCTTTGGCGAGAGGAAGAAGGCTCACGACAAAGTGTACCCCAAGGGGTGAGCTTGCACCCAATCGACATGTTGTATCAATAGCTAATCTGGCTTACCGCCGCCTTTAGATATGTCGAGATGCTTGAACAACAACAGACGTGGCTGGTCAATGGCCTGCAAGAAATGTACCGTCGCGCCTTGGAGGGCGAAGGCTGGCCGGGAGAGCCCTTGAAATGCGAGCCCAACGGCCATCCTCTAACACACGATCTGCTTACGCGACTTGGCGCCTTGGACCAGACCAAGGGTGAGCGCTTCGAAGAGAACACTGAGGCTATGCAGCAAGATCTCTGGAGGCAGAATTCCGGACACATGCAACGCCAGGAGTCATCCGACGGTAGCTCAGAAAGTGCGCAGTCGCCTATCATGCCCTCCCGCTTCTCAGACCCGTTTGCTCGTCAGCTCTCGAGTACGCAATCCAGCTTTAGCACACCATCCCAAACGCAAGGCCCCACTATCAAATCAGAGCCTCAAATGGCACCGACAAATCCCGCCTTCGTTGCGCCCATGACCATGCAAGGCGTCGTGAATCCCCTCGCCCTCCAGACCCCGCAACAATGGCCCAACAATAACTTTGGCGCTTTCGACGATATGGATCTAATAGGCGCGTCCGATTATACGAATTTGTCCTTTGACGACCAGGTGCCCTCGCCGATGTTCAACCGTCAATTACCGATGAGCTGCATGCTTTCCTCTTCGTCGTATATGGACACCAAAGGCGACTATGAAGACATCAATCAGTTCTTGAATGCCAATGCGCCCGAGATCGCATCGACCTGAGATCACTTCGATACGACGAAATTTAGCATATTAATGTCTCTCGTTTGTCTGACATTTGTTTTGCATACGCCGTACGACGTAACGCGTGTATTATATACATGCTACATTTCGACATTGGACTACTTTTTGAACATATGGCAGCACTCCCCTTGATTAAGAAGGGTAATTGATCAGCTGTACAGTGTTGGATTCTTTTGGGTGACTGGCATCACATTCTTTTCTATTCTCTTCTTGCGGGGACAGCATCCTCTACATATTTTTATGGTTTATACTTTTTTGATGATGAAGGCGCCGAGGTGTTTTGGAGTTGGAGTTTACACAAAACATTGGAAGGCTTGAACAGGCAGGGCGGTTGGTTTTTTTCTTTACTTGGATGCGGATGCTTTTGCGTGGATACTTGCCGATGCTGGTTCTAGTTTCGGATGTTCTATATGTCATTCTTATGTCTCTGAAATTGAAAATATACAATTTATTCTCGATTCTTCTTATTTACTTTGGTTTACTTCAACCTTTGTCCGAGAAGTGGCCGAACTTTGGCCTAGGGCGCAGGGCGTATCGGCCAACGGAGACCGACTGCCGAGGCCAGGAACCTTTTTTCTCTGCTCGTTAAGCCCAGATGACGTTCCAACCGCTCACGAGTGACTAATGCGGTGATGGAGGACGTCATGGATAATCAAATCCTAAAGGCCGGTGACAGCTCTACCTTATCTCCGGCCACATCTGGACTGGCTGGACCACTCACGCGCCCCCGATGGGGATACGAGGTAGATCGTGACACGTCGAGTGAACCCTACTGCCCTCCTGCAACAATATTCCCTGTGGTGGTCAAGAGGGGGAACCTGATCACTGAACAAGAAATTCATGAACAACAAGTCTTCCTGGCCGATGGATCCCCGTGAAAAAACGAAGAGGGTCCAAAAGTCTCCACCCTCGATACGACGGAGCCCAATTTGATGTTTGGGTCTGGCACGACGGAGCCCAGCCCAGCCCACACACCCGCTAGTGGGGAGCGATGAGTGGGAAGGGGGAGAGGTTTTTTTTCCCCCATTGCTGCCTTTTCCTGTTGTTTCTTTTCTTAATTCCGTCTCTTCTTTCCTTCCATGGAGCCTTTGCCTCATCTGGTTCTGTGGATAGACAGTTGAGTGGATATTGCTGGTCAGCTACGGGCGGACTAGCACACAGGCCGAAATGCCGACCTCCCGACCGTGTCAGTGGTGTGCCAGTGCCCAGGCAATAGCATCGCTTACCTGGTTCGACATCCGAGTTCCCATCGGAATACGCCCACTCTTTGCCAGGAAGGGACTGAACCTTGATTTCCCTCCGGATTACGGAGGATTCGACGTGATATTCTACTGGCAATGGAAGCTGTCCATCTCCTGTCGTTCCACGTGTAGAACTACAATTTCTTATTTTTTTTTTATTTTTCTTTTTCCCTTTAATTTCTTTTCTTCACGGTCCCCATCTCCCTAATTCCGCTCCGTCTCTCTGATCCAGGTGATAGACACTGGTTCCCCAAAATGGAGAGATAGCCCCATTCATGGTCCCTCTTCCCGACAAGACTGGACTGTGAGGGTTAACTGCAGTATATCTACGGAGTAGAGCACGGATGGGATCCAGTCAGCCCCCTTTCAAGACACAAAAGCAATTGTCTTGTCTGGCAATAATCATCCAAATAATGGGAGGGCTAGTGACTCCCAAACGGGTAATGCACCCCCGGGGGCCCGTCAGTAGGTCACTGCATTACCACTACTGTGGACTAGTCAGTAGTCATCGCGGACCACCAACACACACTTTCCCCAGAACATCTGCATGCAGCGCTCACATCAGGGTGTGGTAATGTTGTTGTCAAGTGGACAATGGACGCTTTGATATGGGGTTAGACCGCTCAGCCACTACACAGTACAGCCTGATCGACGGATTTCTAATCCTGAACTCATGCTGAGATCAGGATTTCCAAAGCCACCCATTGCATGCTTGTCATCACATGTCCTATTGGTACAAAGCATTCATTTACTCCCGGAGACCACCTCTCGGAGTTACTCTAATGGCACTGGACCCGGTTGTCTATCAATGCATGGTATAGGGGTTCCCGGTACTTCTTCGTGTTGTGTAGTATCTATTTACATAAGGGGTTCATTTTAGCAATGCCGAATGCCGATGCAACGGTTCTTGCGATTCCCGGGGGCCGCGCGATTTCTATCTAGTGCTGTGCTTCTTACGAGATCATACGCCATATGGCATATGCCAATTCAGCCAAGTTGCAAATGCAAATGCAAGAATGGGATGAGATTAATGCCCAGCAAAAGCATTTTTACATCTATTTCAATTGCCGTGGCTAAATCAAGTACTAATCAACTACCGTATGTAGGGACGGGATTATCAAAAAGCAAAGAGCTACTATTACAAGATATAGGGCTGCTTAGGTGGCAAGAGTGCCGCCACAGTATGGTCTTTCTCAGGGGTTGAACCCACAGAGGAGTGAAGAAAAAGATCGTCTCAATTATAGATGAAACTTGGTTCACACTATCCCATTCTATTCCAATACATTTATTCTTGTGATTGAATAATAAAAAGAGGAAGTATCTTGTTCTCGCTTCCACAGTTTGGTTAAAAGCGCTGAATCAGCGGATTACGGACTCGGCACGGAAGCCCCAAGCTCCGCGGAGACCGACCCGAGGTTTCAGTTAGTTACGGTTGGAATTGATTAGTTGAGCGACCGTAAGTTCAATTGACTGATGGAACCTTCTTGTCAGCTTCGGAGCGGTTGTTCGCCTTAACTCCACGTTTCGGACCTGCGCGTATTGTCATCCGGCACTAGTAGTAGTTGGCAGTATGTTATGGTATGACATGACATACGGTTATTTACAGTCTGTCTCGCCGTTTTGTCTGTTTTTAATCCATCTCGTAACCTAATCCCACCTACGGCCCTGGCACTGAGTGCTTTTACTATTAAGTAACCATCAACTTAGTTATACTAACTGATATTAAGGATTTAGGAGCTTGGTCCCTGCAGCCGTTCAACGGTCAAATCGGCGCATCTCGCAAGCCCTTCTGAATGAGTCATTATTGTGTCGGAGAACTAACCATCCATAATCTTGCGGGGACCCTTTCGGCGATGGGGAAGGGAGCGTGCGCTGAAGTCTAGTGACTGGTGGATGGTAGCTTCCCATTTCTTGTTCGATTTAAGACCCCGAATATTGCTTGCGTGATGGAAGTGAGGAAGAGAGTGGGATGCCGACTACTAGTGAGCTAACTCTCGATCCATCCCACGCTGCTCCTCTCATAGCGTAAGCAGTATCCCGCCGGAAGGAATGGCAGGTAGTCAAGCCAAGGGACTAGTTTGATCACAATGATCAAAACAAAACCTTAGTACAAGGTGTTAAACTACTAATATGATGAAGCTCCGACCAGCCACAGATTAAGTTGAAGCATATCCAGTCCAAGCTATGGATAGCTATGATCGAACTACTTACTCTACTGATCTGGCGGCATCTGTCTGCCTGAGGCATAAATTATCCGGAAGATTACCCGATTCGGCAAATCCACCACATGCTACGAAGTGCGGTTTAGCCTAATATGCGAGAAGAGCAAGGCTCAAGATGGCATTCAGGCATGGGGATCCTGGGATATTTAACCGAGTTTAAATGAACCTCGCAGTAAGAAGGGCCTATCTACCTTATCTTTGCACCAATCCTAGTGATTGAAGCACGTAAGCTCTTCAGCGTGAGCCCCTGTCGTATTGGTCGCGACTTCTCCAGTTGGAGCAGAATTGCGGGGTAGCGGGCGGAAAGTGAGTGACCACCCCCCTTTTCATATATCGACTACTGTCTTACTTTTTCCCATCTAAAGTTTCAATTGCCCCTCACTAGACACGACCGACTCACTAGAAAGATCAGAGATTTAGCAAGAATTCAACGCACTCAGTCAAAATGGGCGACAAAACCTCCGCCAAGTTCCTCTCCCTCGGCGCCATCATCCAGGAATTCAACGTGGACGGACAAAACATTGTTCAGGGTTTCGCCACGAAAGAAGACTACGAGAAGCACAACTCGCCCTGGTTTGGCGCGAATATCGGACGTGTTGCCAACCGCATTAAAGACGGTGTTATTCAGAATCTCAATGGACAGTCGTATCAGCTTGAATTGAATGACCCTCCCAATGCGCTGCACGGGGGTAGTCGCGGATGGGGTCGCTGCGAATTCGATGGTCCAACGGTGTTGAACCGCGATGGGAAGACTACCCTGCTGTATACTTATCTGAGCCGTGACGGGGAGGCAGGATACCCAGGCACGGTGGAGTTCAGGGTCTACTATACCACGAGTGAGGAGGTGGAGAATGGCAAGACTACGTCGGTGCTGAAGATTGAATATGAGGCTGAGTTGGTGGGCGATGAGTGCAATGAGACGGTCGTTAACTTGACCAACCACAGGTATATCGCCCTTTTTTTCTTTTTCACTGCATCAATTGGGCGATAAAATATTGACCGTCCGAACAGCTACTTCAACCTCAACGGCGGCCCAACCACCGAAGGCACCATCAGTAAACTATCAACACAGGACTACCTACCACTAGAGAACGGCATCCCACTGGGCCCCATCGAGCCCTACCCCAGCGAAGTCACCAAGGACTTCACCTTCGGCCCGCAGAACCAATTCGACGATGTCTTCGTCATGGACCGCGACCTGTCCCGCATTCCCCTCGATACGCGGGGTGAGCCCCTCCGCCTGCTGGCCGAGTTCCAGCACTCAGACACGCGCCTGCACCTGCAAGTGCACAGCACGGAGCCGGCATTCCAATTCTACACGGGCCAAGGCATCGATGTACCCGAAACCGACGGGAAGCCGAGTCGGGGCCCATTTGCGGGGTTCTGCATCGAGCCCAGTCGGTTTGTCAATGCGGTCAATGAGCCCGGATGGCGGCACACGGTCGTTCTCCCGAAGGGGCAGAAGTACGGTAGTACCATCGTGTATAAGGCCTGGAGGGAGTGAACCAAAACAGAACCCAGAACCACAACGAGAACCCGAGGTAAACTGCCGGGAAAGAGTCATGCCACAGTGAATCAATAAACGGCCGATCGGTGGAGAGATTAGTTAGTGCCTAGGCTCGGCATGGGCGTGGACGTACGTCGCCGAGGCAGGGACATCCATTCTCTCTCTAGAACTACGGAACTCTCCGTCTTTTAATTCCGCTGATCTAATATGTACTAGCCAGAAAAATTTTGACAATATTCAGTTTTTCTTTTTGATCTAAGAAAAATGTCTTGGCAATCATCCGATTATCCATAGCATCACATGATCACACCGTGCCGATTTATCCTTATCACCCGTGATATGTATCCGAAGCGGGTCTAGCAAGCAAGAGCAAAGCCCAGATTGAAACGAAACGGGCTTATGGAGGAGATCCACCTGAAGCAGAAGGCAAACAGTGTGGATTGTGGTATTTCTATGGAATAAAAAAGCCTCAGGTGGGTGGATATTTTGCATGTGGAGATCCACACCCATTACCAGATCGGGCCTTGTCAGACTAAACTAGCAATAATCAATCAAATCATTTTCCGTGCACTGTTTAGATGGGACCAACCGACCTAACCCAAAACCTCTCCTAGTTAAGGTGCGGGTATACAGGCACCGGGATTGGACCGTTATATCCGCAATATCCGCAGTGGTTCTTGCCTCTCCGTATGAGTGTGTGTAGACTAGTTAGTATGTAGTTAGTTAGTTTGAGCAAAGAAAAGTCTCCGTGCTGCTGCTACATTGACTCACTAGTGAAGAAAGGCAAAAAAAAGTCTCCGTCCCGGGACTGGAAGTTTCCATGGCTGGCTGAGGGGGGTTACTAATGATGATAATGCATTAATCAGCATTGGCGGCAGCTTAAGTTTGAGCCAAGCAAGCTATTCATTCAGGGAAGAAATTAAACTTGTATACTACTGAATTGTGGCTGGTAGGAGGTATAGTGTTGATTAGGGATCATCTGGAAATTCACTCATCGTGGGTGGGATATGGTGGTTCCTGATTATTTGCCAAGAGTTTCTGGAATCCCGCTATTGGGTTCTAGCGTTTGATATACACAGTAATCAATCAGTCTTCTACATTGGGGAGGAGTAGTGTCGATGGTATCAAGATACCGGAAATAACTCTGGAGGATGTTAGGGGGGGAGGGGGATCAATTTACCTGGATTAATTTATGTTATACAGTGTGTGCGTGTATAGTATGAATTCATCTTATATCTATATGCATATATCTTAGGGTATAGTAATGTAGTATACACGAGGACCTAAAGCAGATTGCATAACTTGTGCATAATTACATCATGTATCCGTTTTCAACCCCAAACCCGGTAATACCGTATGTTTTTACAGGTAATATATACAGTATCAAAACACAACGGAAATGTTTCGTATACTGTAATAATACCAGGGCTCTCTCACTCTCGCTCGCTCTCGGGCACCGACAGTAGATTTCCGGTGAAGCTTGGCATGGTGATCATAGTTGTTTACGGGCTAGAATGGGGGAGGGGGGAAAATATCTAATGCATATTATAGGGAGGATTAAGTTTATGCTGGATTTAGTGTTGGGGTGTGTGTGGACGGATACTGTGATTATTTTGTAAGTAGTTGACCACCATCCCCCTACTGACTGCTACAACTACAGTGGGAGAAAAGTATTCATTATATGAGTACGATGGATTTCATATAAGTAATGTACTCAAGTATTGAAGAATTTCTCCAATTTTTTTTAGACAACCCCCCCTGCATGCCCCATCCCGTTCTTTGTTGTAGTAGTATGCTTAAACCCCGAATTGGAGTCAAAATCCATCCCACACACCACCCACCCCCCCCCAGTGCGCAGGGACAACACAACACAGCAACACAGCAACTAAGCTAAGCACAGCACACCAACACTAAAATATAAATACTACCATCACACGATCAGGTGCATGGGATAGCAGAGGCGATGATCATCTCCTTGTATTCCCCCCTTATATCCATGCATGTACAGATACATAGTTAGCAACCAGGTGGCTGGTCTGTGTGACGGGTTTGTACTACTTTGTGCTTGAAACTACCTGGGGGTTGAGCTGCGGGCATCCTTGTCCAGTTAATACATAAGTTACTTTGAAGCTACTACTGATTACCCCGCGCATTCCCCTCATTGTTCTGGAGTAACTAGTAAATGCCATATGATGATCTTTGCAGGTGGGATGGAGTAGTAGGTAAGGGTGTGTGGGATAAGAGGTCTTGGATAGATGTCACATGTAGCAGGTGCATAAGGTGATCGGGTTCCGAGTTGTGTGCATATTTCTTTTGACATATCTTGGAGGTAGCTAACATAGTTAGTTAGTGCTGTTTTTTTTTGCTTATGTTGGGTTGTAGCTCATAACTACTACTACTACTACTATCCAGGTCAGCTTCATATATGGATGAACGTTGGAAGGTATCCCCTGTGTTGTTATTACTCTAATACTTAATTACTAACTTACTTACTTACTGTCAGTAATACATCCATAACAGCTATACCTTACCACCGTTGCCAATACCCCAGCCCCTCTTTCCCCCCTGTTGTACTCCATATGTTAAGAATTGTGCTGTCTGTAGTCACCCAAGATTAAACAAGGCAGTGCACATCCATCGTGTCGTAAACTAATCTTAGTAGATGATTTTGGACAAAGCCCACAGGGATTTCAGAACTGATGTCAGACCATGACGCCAGCATTAACGTATCCATATTTTAGTAACTTGCCAACAACCATCGTTGAGGCTGAGTAGATGTTTACTCTGTATGTAAGCCTCCCCGGTTGTCGTGTCAAAGCTTGAAATCCTTCCGTCCAGTAAACACGACAGCTTCCTAGGTCTAGCCATGGGAGCTGTGCTTAGTAGACAAGCTACGTATCACTAATAGTTGGGTCCATGGGTGCGATGTGTCGCCGACTTCGTGTTCGTATTCATACTTTGCTTGCTGCATTGGGGGGGGGGGATGCGAAGTGACGGGAGTATACTTCCACCCATTATTAATGTCGATGGAGTATAATATACGAGATGATGTTTATCCTTGAATCATGTAAGACGGGATATTCATAACTTACAGTAAACTATCATCCATTGTTAATTATAACTATACACAATACCATAAACATAAACATGAATCCCTATCCTGTGTATACAAATCACATGACCATCAAACAAACCAACCGCAACCCGGAGGGTCCCGATGCCATGCGCCGAAACTCCGAAGTGCCCCGCGCGGGGTTTGGTTCCTCCTCCGGCTTCATCTCCATCTCCATTATCATCCCTATCAACTCCAACCAACACATACATCAACAACAATATCAATACATACCACAATGGCATCCCAATACGGTGACCTCCGTCACCTCCTCCCAGGCAACTACAAGCGTCTCATCGCCGACTGGCTCGAAGAAGACTGTCCCAGTTTCGACTATGGCGGCTTCGTAGTGGGGGAATCCGAAGGCGAAGCACGATTACTAGGAAAGAGCGAGGTAACCACCACTACCACCACCACCCACCACTTACCCAATACAATCCATACTAACATATTATTCTACAAATCTAGGGCATCCTCGCAGGCGTCCCCTTCTTCGACGAAGTCTTCTCCCAACTAGGATGCTCGTACGCTTCCCCTCTTCCACCCCAATCACCAAGACCCCATACTAAAGAAACCTCTACAGAGTAACATGGCACATCACCGAAACCACCCCCATCAAACCAATCACCCACTGCGCGACCGTCACCGGCCCAATCCGCAAGATCCTGCTCGGTGAGCGCGTCGCCCTCAACATCCTCGCCCGCTGCTCCGGCATCGCAACCAAGACCTCCACCCTAGTATCCATCCTCCGCAGCCACAATTGGCCGGGCACGTTAGCCGGCACGCGCAAGACGACCCCGGGATTCCGAGTCGTCGAGAAATACGGTATTCTCGTTGGCGGGGCGGACCCTCACCGACATGATCTCAGCGCCATGACTATGCTCAAGGATAATCATGTGTGGGCGTGTGCGAATAACTCGGCGGCTAAGGATGGTGGCGATAAGGAGGCGGTGGAGGAGGGGTCGATTGTGAGGGCGATTCCGAGGGCGGTGCAGGCGGCGAAGGCGGCCGGGGGTTTTGCGACGAAGGTTGAGGTCGAGTGTCGGAGTTTGGAGGAGGCGGATGCGGCCATTGAGGCCGGTGCGGATGTGATTATGTTGGATAATTTCACGCCGGAGGGGGTGAGGGATGCGGCGCGGAAGTTGAAGACTACTTGGGCTGGGAAGGGGAAGGCGTTTTTGGTCGAGGTTAGTGGTGGGTTGAATGAGCAGAATGCTGCTCGTTATGCTTGTCCGGATGTGGATATCTTGTCGACGAGCTCCATTCATCAGGGAACCGGCATTGTCGATTTCTCTCTGAAGGTGTCGTTGCGGTAGTGGGCGGATCTTGTCTAGATGATGTGATGTGTATATCCTACTTGCTAGATTGTTGTATTACTCCGGATGAAGACGCAGCCTACGGATAGCTGTGCCAGAATTTAACATAATCATCCTGCTTGTCTATGTACATGTGTCTCGGTGCCATTGCTACCTGGCTTAACCAACGCGTTCAATACACAATGCCCAGATGGCAAATGTCCAAGAAAGAAGACGAATCGAAGAATGAACCGAAGGGTATATGATACATGCAATGATAAGAACATCAAAAGAGCCCTTATGAACACCAGGTGGACTAGAACATCTTCCAAAAGAATACCACTCGCAAGCCTTGCACTGGAACGCCCAATACGCCCAACGACCATGGCCCACGACCCCCACCTCACCCCCTAAGGCTACGTTCAGACCTCAATGTCAACGTAGATGCCCTCGCCTTCGCTCGAGCTCATCTCATCGTCCCGACGCCGATCATATCCGTCACTCGTGCCCGGGTCTGACCCCTCGAGCCGCCGTTGACCACGCGCGCGCACGTCCTCATCGGTCGACGTGCCCCCGGATAGCTCTTTGCGTACACGCTGTCGCTCGAGCTGCGCGCGGAGTCGCTGGTTCTCCGCATCGCGCTCTTCCAGGCGCCGCCGTGCGCCGCTTCGGTCCAGAAGGCGAGCCTCCCGTTCGGCCTTCAATCGCTTCTCCAGCTCATGCAAGCGTTGAATCCACTTCTCGTTGCTCCCCGGGTCAGCGGACATATGTCGGGAGCGAGAACCTTGCACCAGTGCTCCTGGCCCATCATTGGCGAGCGTCGCTGTCGAGGTTGTCGAGGCCGAATGCGAGGGTTGAGGGATGCCAGTGGTGGCGCTCCGCGACAGACCGCGCGACGGGGCGGGTTTCTCGACTGCTGAGTGATGACGGATCAGAGAGCCCGGTTCTGCATCGGCTCCAGGATCTAGGCTCAGCGCACGGGTCGGTGACCGTGGGGAGTTGGATCCAATACCAACAGCGGCGGCGGAGACAGCCGCAGAGGCAGGTCCACGGCTGCGTGAGTGCGATTGAAGCAGGTTCAGCTCGGCCTTCAAGAGCCGGTTCTCACCCCGGAGCTTCGCCATTTCAGGAGACATTCCGGACTGGTTCCGGCTGTGCTGTTGTGCGCGCATGTTCATCATGGACTCCTCGAGGCGGTCAAGCTTCTTAACGCGCAGACTGAAGGTATGCTCCAGCATCTGGTACTGTTTGGTCAAATCCCGTTCAACACCCTTGATGCGCGACTTGAAGCCCGAGATCACGCTTTCGACGGTCTTGACAGCGAGCAGAAGGTTGCGGCTAAACCCGGGCCAGAAGAGGATGTTGCCAATGACCTCTTGACTGGGGAGATTGCCGTTGATCAAGCTGTTTGAATGCGCCCAGTCCGGTCCGCACATGGCTGACAGGCGTTTCCAGATGTTTAGGAGCATCACGTTGCGCTCGCTCAGCTGGTCGCGGAACTGCTGCTCCAGAGTGGTGAAGCGCTTGCGATCTTGATTACGCGCATTCTCCAGCTCCGAGATGCGCGAGTTGTTCTGCGTGATGGTGCGCGAGGCCTGGTGGTGGGATTTGAGAGCTTGCTCGAACGACTGCTTGTCGGCACGGCGGGCATGGCGCTCGCGGTCGAGCAGCTCGGCCAGCTTGCGCGATTCCAGCCCATGACTCTCCAGCAGCGCATCGCGGTTGCGCAGAAGAGACTCCTTGTCGTCCAGCTTGGCTCGCGTGCTTTCGAGTTCCAGGGCTGTCGACTCCAGCTCCTTTTGCAGCTTCATGATGTTGGAAATCAGACTAGAGCGACTGCCGGTTAGATCACCCAGCGTCTCTCGTAGGTTGTTTTCCAAGTCCAGCAACCGCTCTTTCCAGGTTGCGGCTTCAATCTCCTGCGCCGACAGGTTCTTCCTAAGTTTGCGGTTCTCCTCCTTGGCGGTGGTCGCCTCACGGTTCAGCTCGTTGACAATGCGCTGCACCTCTTGCTTCTCTTTGCTGCCCACAACTTCACGCTGGTGCCGTTCCTCCGCCAACCGTTCCTCGAGTTCGCGTGTCTTGTCGCGCTCGCTTTGCAGGCTGAGCTGGTAGGACTTGAGCTCTGATTCAAGATCTCCGATCTTGATCTTGTCGCCATCCTGCTCCTCGCGGAGGAACGCAATCTCATTCTGACTCGACTCAATTTGCACGGTGAGCCGTTGTACTTTAGTGTTAGCCTCATAGAGATCCTTCTCCAGCGACTCCATCTCGCGGTTGCAGTCCTCCAGTTCCTGCTGGACGGCCTTGTACCGCTGGAGATTGTTCTGTGCATCTTCCTCAAGCCGGATAATGCCCTCGCTAGCTGAGCGCATCTCCGCCTGGAGTGCCCGAAGGTTTTCGTCCTGAACACGCACTTCTTCGCTCAATCGCTGGCACTCTTCTACCTTCTGCTCCAGAGCCTCACTCATGGCGTCTAGCTCTTCCTGAGCTTCTGCGCGGATGTTTTGGAATGCTTCATCGCGCTCTTCGGCTATCTGCATGGACTGGTCGCGCTCCTGTCGGAGATTTTGTACCATTTGTTGAAGGTTCGATATCTCTTCTTCCGCCTCATCGACGTCGGCCTGATATGCCTTGTCCAGCGAGTCATAATCCTGGTTGACCTCATCCAGCTGCTCCCGAATAGATTGGTTTTCAAGCTTCAGAGCCGACACCTGGTCGCGCAGCTGGCCTACGCGCGTTTCTAGGTCTTCGCGCTCGGCATCGTCGCTCGGCGATTGACCCGTGCCATCGCTGGCGCGCGAAGAGGGCCGACCATGTGCCCGGGACGCCGAGCGATCGAAGATGCTGTCGCCGGCAACCGATCGAGTCCCATCCCGGCGTTGACCAAGTTTGAGCTCTTCAATCTCCTGGTATAACCGCTCCTTCTCCCGGTTGCGGGACGTGAGCATCGAGGTCTGAGCGCTCACCTCCTTTCTCAGCTCCGCATTCTCTTGCTTTAGCAGTTCCAACTCCATCACCAGCGTCGAGCTGGAGGAGCTAACAGTATGGGGATCGCGGCTGAAGTCTCGTTCGGACGCAGCAGAGTACGAGGCCATTGAGCCAATTCTGTCGCGTTGCCCGACTCGCGCGGCGACGACAGGGAAGTTCATCTCGTTCTTCAAGCGCAGGGTCTCTTCGCGCAGCCGCTTATTTTCCTCTTCTGCCTGCTCGCGAGCCGCCGTCTCGGCCTCCAGCATGTCCTTCCACATATCCTGCGGCAACAAACAATCAGCGTCCAGAATGCACAAAGGGATAATCCAGTACTTACCCTCTCCTCCCGGGCGCCAACATCCGATCCCATGGGCCGCCCGTCACTAAGGGATTTCACCATCTCGGCCAGTCGTCTCTTCTCACTTTCGCGGGCAATGCTTTCCGAACGGAGTCGCTCGATTTCCAGTTCATATGTCTCTGCCCGCTCGCGCAGGAAGAGAATCTCCTCGTCCTGCGCGGGGTCACGGTCTTCCTCGTCCGACCCTTCGGGGTCATGGTTCAGCATAGACTCCTTGTCGGACTGCTGGTCTTTCAACTGTTTCTCGAGATCGCGCAACTTGCGCTTCAGGCTTTGATTGTCCTTCTGCAGCTTCAGCTTGTCTGACTTCAACTCAACATTCTCCGAGATCATCTCCTTGATGCCCTCCTCAGAGCGTCGATTCAGTGCTTCATTGAGGAAGTGGATGCGCATCTTGAGGTCAAAGTTCTCCTTGGAAAGACGGTCAATGGTGCTGCTTTGCTCTTTGAGCGTCATGGTGCGGCCACTCCGGGCAAAGGCCGGAGTGGCGCTCGTCCGCTTTTCAGGCGACAATCCACGGCTACCATAGTCCTCCCGGAACTGCTTCACGAATGCGCTGGGAACCTGCACGTCTTTGACACGTTCTGCGAGGACCGTATCCGTAGGAAATCCGGTGTCTTGGGGTTTCGCCCGTGGTGTCATCGGTCCAGAAGCGTCATCGGGATGGAATTCTTGTTGAGGGCGCTGCTCTGATTGTTGTTGTTGTTGCTGCTGCTGCTGTTGCTGATACCTTTGGTAAGACGACCCCGGACGTGACTGAGTTGGGCCTTCCTCTTCATCCAAGGTCTGTAGGCCTCCTTCCGTGGTCCCGCCAGGGTTCTTCCGATCAAAGAGATTCTCATCACTGTATCCCGAGATACCTGATGCCATGCTTCCCAAGCTGACCGACCGGGCCAATGTGTTGCGCTGTCCGGCATGCGCTAAACCCGGGTTGCCCGGCGCTGCACCGCCTGATTGAAGTGCGTAGTCGGCGCCCAGCGTCGCATCACTGTTTGTGATTTCTGTACCCGCACTCGTGACCGAGGAATATGAAAGCCGATGGGCCGAATTACGACTAGTCAGATACTTCGGTCGGTTGCTTCGACGACTGCTCGTATGGGAGGCTGTATCGGCGTCATTCGCGCTGTTGTCATGAAACAGCCTCGACGTTCCAGGGGACACACTGCGTGATAGGCTGCGAATTTTGTGATGGCTGGATTGGAGTGAGATGTCTGCGTCCGGTACAGGAGAGCGATCAAATGCATCGTCGCGAGCAATCTGGCTGGTGTCGGGCGCATTTTCGGATGAGGTAGACTGGTTACGGGTACTTGTCCTCGCTGCAGCGGCCGCCGAAGGAGATGATGGGATCGCTTCCAGGATAGTGGTGTTGTCGCCATGTTGTTCGGGGGAAGCGGCAGGCGTTGCGTCCAAATCCTCCGCTGTGTCCTGTCTGTGCTCATGGGTGGGCGTCTGAGGTGTGTGAGTGCCATCCGCGGCCGCTGCGATGTCATGTATAGAATCATCGGGCGGCACGAACGAAATCTGCGTGCTTTCCAGCACTTCAGGGACAGGCTCCTCCTCGTGTATTCCAACCAAGTAAGTATCATCCGCACCAATAATTCGGTTCGTGGTTGCGACTTCGATGGTCGAAGGTTCCGGCAGAAAGCTGGACTCCATATCCATCAACTGCCGCCGCATTTCCTTTTCTTTGATGAAAGTTTGGTCGTCCACTCGCTCCTGGTAGTCATCGTCGGCGGACAACAAAAGGCTGCTATCGTCGTTGTCGGGCAAAGGGGGGAGGGACAGGTTCGAATCGTCATGGGCGGGGTCTTCCACCGTCGATGGGTCAACTGCAGGATTATGGCGTTGGGCATCACTGAGGGCGCCCGGTTCCTCATGAGCGTAGTGGTCGTCGACAGCGCCGTCTCGGGCGGGAGTGTCCATTGTGGTCGGGGAAAGACCTCCCCGCGCGTTCTCCGCCACCATCAAAGGGATTGGATCGCGGAATACGTCTTCGAGAGCCGGGAGTCCTTCTTCGTGTAATGGGTTGGGGGGTGGAGAGAATGTCGGGGAGCGCACCGGATGCGCGTGTTCGGCGACGTTTGGGGACTCAGGCGACGGAGAGGAAGGTGGTTGAGGCGATGCGGTCGACATGGTGACGGGGGGAGGGTTTGTTGTCCCCACCTCCACCATGCAATGCTCGACAATCCTAGCCCCTAGGAGACTAGGAGACTAGTAAGAGCTTAGGGAACAACGGGCGCTGAAACGCGGCGGTTGTCTAGACTGGATAAACTCTAGACTCGGGCTCTTGTGCTACCCACTTGGGCGGGCAGCCGGGTTAGCGCCAATGCCAGGCCCGCCAGCTCACCACCACCTCGAGCAAGACGTGGCTGCGGTGAGATTAGAGAGATAATAGAGGGTATGGTGCGTAGGACAGAAAGGGTGGAGAGCGAGAGATGAGGGTGTGGATGGAAAACCAGGAACATCGAAGGGAGAGTGAGGTTGTGGTGCAGCTGCAACCTTCCTGTTGTTATGGTTGTTGTTGTTGTGCCTTCGCCCAATCAGCACGTGCCCGCTCGGTCCCGTCCACCAAGAAGTTAGTACTACTCAGTATACGACTCTATTACGTCGTCCATAGATCTAACGCTTCATTCACCTTGGGATCATTAAAAACGGATATGGAATCTCTTTTACTGCCAAAATTCCGGGTCAGACCCTAGGATATTTCACTGAAACTTCTTACTTCATGGCAACCAGTCACGTAAACCTCGTCAAAACCGGATCGAAGAGGGGAAAAAAAAAAAAAATCAAAAGACAGTAAGTACATGATGATCGGGGTCACAGGGTCACAAAGGCAAGAGATAGGATATGTAGAAGGGAACTCAGAGGTAGTGCAAATTTTGTGCACTCTAGAGTCGGAGACTTTTCTTATATTCCAATGGAACGACAAAGAAGTGAATGGGGAAGTAATTAAAGCTGGGTTGGGTATACAAAGCAAATCAAGAAAATCTAAGCTCCCTGGGGCTCCTCGCCCTCAAATCCCCGAGAGCCAGCTCGATAGTATGATGTTGGGCAAATTTCAGACACCTCTCTAAGCACAGGTTACTCGGCAGGGGTGCTCTCTTCCCGGTTGGTATAGATCCGTTTCTTCTGCTCCAAAGCCGAGGAGAGCGAGTCAATGTAGGTCCGGAACTTCACGATTTCCCGCAGCAGATACGACGACTTGCGCTCCCAGTTGGCCAACGCCTTGGCTGCATTGGGGTGCCGCGGCGAGAAGGCAAGGATCATGGCGGGTCGAAGCTCGTTATGTCGCTGCAGTTCCTCCTCCACGTTCTTGACATACGTCTGCAGGGCCTTCAGCTGTTCATCTTCTGGCAGAGCTGATGCCATCATACTCTGTTGCGGAGGAGCCCAATCGCTAATGTGCACTCGGTCGGCCGGCAGTCGGGGCCGGACCCCCTGCTGGTCAATAGAGCTGCGAATCGAGCTCTGGATGCTCGGGCGCGCCCCCGACGAGGAAGGAGGTGTCCGGCTGCTCTCTGCCGAGATCAGGGCGCTATTAATGACTGCATCGCTCCAGCCATACTCCATGTTACTAATGCCACCAATCAAAGGCTCCTTGGATAGTCGCGCGCTCCAATAATTGGCGCTGGACACAAATTCCCGAACGATTTCTGGCGTGCCGGCTTGGAAAAGATGTACGGCGCCCGTGGGCAGGCTCAGGGCCCAGACATGCGGGCGAGACTTGGAATACCCTGGAGGTGGCAGCGCGCTGGCAATGGTTTGACGCAAAAGGAACTTCCAGATTTCTTCCGCGTTTTCTGTCCAGTTGCCTCCTCCTACCACAACGCCGCCAGGATGCCGTTGCTTGGCCTTCTGTCGGACTGATTTCATGGAGGCGTTGAAGGAGAACAGGCGCATCCAACCTTGTTGGATGACGGCAAAGCATTCGTTCCAGTTGCGGTCTTTAGCCCTCTTATCTACCGAGTCCAAGTGATGCTTGTGCTTAAGGCTTCCTTCCTTGGCCCAAGGGGCGCCCGCAAGCTGTAGAGTCTCATCTTCCAGGAGAGGCGTATTCCGCTCGGCGTCTTCAAAGCTGGCTATCGAATGTGCCGAGTCTTCACGGATAATTGCCTGACTCAAGGCATTGGCAAAGCCAATCGATTGTTGATAATCCCCACGTGGGTAATCCGAGCCAAAAGAATCCACCGACGCAGAGGTCAACTTCCCAGAAGAATACTTGCTCCACGTACTGGATGCCGATGGGCTCCAGAGGGAAGACTGGTCATCCAAGCTGGTCCGGCTAGAGCCCATCGTAGAAGGGGGATACAGCCTGGCTCGAGATCGGGGCTTCGAAGACCAGCGTGCCGTTCCATAACGGGAATCGGCAGAGCGGCCGCGCGGATAGATATCGGAGCCACTTTTACTGACTGTACTCGGACTCCTGCGGAGCCCACCAGGGTGAGGTCCCAGTAGATTGTTCGAGGACGAACGTGTCGGCTCTTTTTCCACTGGGGCACCATGCAACGGGAGTTTCTGCTTCTGAATCGACGTGTAAAAGTCTCGTAGCACCATTTCCACTTGTTGTTCCCACGCTCGCATTGTGCCGGTAAACGGGGTATTGACGAGGGGGCCGGTGTCATTGTCAGGGTCACTTATCATTTTGGCCGAGAGATCCGTCCGTGAGAGTCGATTTACCAACTTGGTAGGGCCATTGGTCGGCTTATCAGCAGTTGTAGCTTTTCGTTCGAGGTCGTCAGTGGTAGCAGATCTGGAATTCGAGGCCAGGGACGGCGGATCTTGTGATAGGGATTTTGACTTGTTGGCGTCGCGTTGGTCAAAGCCGTCCGGCGCAGCATCCGCCGCCACTCGATGAATTGTCGGCATAGTGTTTCGGACAAATTGGGCCTTCGTCATCTTCTGCTCGATATCGGCAAGGTGCAGGTCGGTATTCAGCAGGAGAAGCGAGTAACAAATGGTGTGCACGACATCTGTAGAGCAGTTAGATCGAAAGCTATCAAGCAGTGAGACAGGGTCAAAGGCGTGGACAAACCAGAAGCTTTGAAGCTATGACGTGGGTTGCACTCGCACCACCGGGTGGAAAAGGCATCCAAGACTCGGTCCACTTGTTGGGTTTCTCCTTTCAACACCAAACGGTTACACAGACTTCGAAGGGCTGCCAGGATGTTCAGATTGGCCCAGTCAAAGAGATCCATGTACGCCTTGCGGACGAAGGCTCGGTCCGGATCGCCCAGCCAAGCCGCAGCCGGCTCGTTTCCTACGACTTGATCCTGGCTATCAAAGAGCATCTGCGCTTGTTCTTTGTCCGAAATAGTCGGCTCGCTAGCCGGGATGTCATCCGGGCTAGTCTCCGCAAGATCGGCAAGCTTTGGCTCCGTTGGCCCCATGGCGGCACTCTCAGATGCCGTGTAGTAATTCGACATTTCCGAAATCGAAGCCCGTGGCGAGCCACCCGGACCATTGGCAGGGGTAGAGAATCGGCTCGTGCCATCAACAATCTCATCTTTGGGTACGTCAGAGGTGGGTATCTCCTTGGACTCTTCTGGGACATCCTCAGCACTGTGAGTGGGGCTCGCGCTCATTTGAGAGAAGCTCTCCATGACGGGCGAAAGCGAGGAAATAACAGTCTCCTGTGGCTTCAAGCCGCCTGGTAAAGCAAAGACCTGGTCTTTATCCACGGAGTCCAAATCACTGCCGCGCGAGCTCACGCCATCGCGTGATGCTCTTGAAGCTGGTGGGCGGTCAACAGGAGCGATGGGATCCTGACCATTAGACTTGGATCCGGACTCTTCATCTCCACTACTATTTCCTAAAAATGTAGCCTCATGATTATTCGCGGATGAGACTGCGGGATATAAACTGTATTTGGCCTTGGGGGCACCGGAGGTTGTAAGGAGGCTGCCTCGCGGACTGTGCGTTGACGTGGTTCCTGGATTCTTGGCTTCCGCATCTTCTGCCGCCGCCGCACGGGACTGCGAGGGCTTGTTGGCCTGGTCCGGCCCAGATGCAGTCGAATCCGTGATATACGGGTTCATCACTTTTTTCAGACTACTGACCGGACTAGGCTCGGGCTTCATAATTTCCATCGCCCTGGAGCCTGACAGCTCCGGAGGAAGCACGATCGGAGGCGGGGCACTTTCAGCCACGGACTTCTTCCGCCGGCGGAAGAAGGACGACTTTTTGGTCACCACTTGATGGCTTCCATCGCGGCCCGAATTGAGCCCTGTCCCACTGTGCTTCAGCGGCTGTCTCCAGCTCTTGACATCTTTGGTCTCGAACTCTTGGGCGGAATGGGAATCGGATTGACTGTAATCGGACGGTCCGAATGTGGGGGCTTTAGAGCCAAAGACTCGACGAAAGAATCCCGGTCGTTCCTTGGCCGGCGCTGGCTCAGGCGGCGGGGGAAATATTGGTTTGTTGAAGGAGATGGTTGGGCTGGGCGCAGGCGGGTCAAGTGAGGAGGGGATTGTAGGCGGAAGCTCTAAGCCTGCCTCGCCCAGATTCGCCAGGTCGAGATCTCGGCTCCGGATGGTGGCCGTGCCAATGTTCTCCGGGCGAGACTTCCGGGTGGTATTCGCACGCGGAGATTTGATACTGTTCCGTCGGGAGGCCACTGGCGTCCGTGACTGCTGCAGGCTGAGCGAACCTGCATAGTCCCCTTGCGAAGATGGGTGGTTTTTACTGGGGCCTCCGGGAATACTTGGCGTAGGAGCTGCGTCAAAGTCGCTGAAGGACCAGGAACCGTAGTCGGCAACCGGTTCGGAAAAGGGGATGAAAGGTGGCCGAGTACCGAAGTCGAAGCTCGCCGAACGTCTCTCGCCAGTTGAATCCGCTCGGCGACGTAACAGAGGCGGACCAAAGTCTAACTGGGAGGAAGCACTTCCTTTGCTCCCATTTCTCGCAGTATGAGCCCCTGTCGCTGCCGTAGAACTCGGCCGGTAGTCATATAGCTGGCCGCGTGAGCCGGTGCCTTCCCGGCTGCGCGTGCTCCCAAATCTTCTCAGGCTAGAATGGTAATTCGAGCTGCTATTACTCCGACGACCTCTCGGGAGTTGGGACGCATGGCGAGCCGTGCCGTCGTCAAAGGTGCCGTCTACCTCTGACGATAGGGAGGATGAAAAGGTGTGTCCGCG